GATTTTATCTGCTGAGCGCACCTTTATACAAATCGATCTTCACGACGAAAACTGATATTTACTCCTTTTCATCGTGAGGATCGATTTGTATAAAGGTGCGCTCAGCAGATAAAATCTAGAAAATTAAATTTGCCATACTTTTGTTGCTAAACTAAATTTCGAAAAGCTTTCTTCATGTTGAAAAATCAGAAATACCACTTATATGGCTTACTTTTGATTCTGTACACCGTGCATCTTTCTTACGGGATGAACAGTTGCTTGAACAACATGTTCCCTTCAATGCTTCCTTCATATTGTTTTAAATGTATTTTCAAGAACTTGCGCAACATTTTCGATTAATCGATTAAAAACCGAAACCGGTGCATGCCTAGAACTCCTGATCTGTATGTAGATTTTAGCAATTGCACCGTTTTTTCCAATCCTGAGTATTTAGTATTCTAAAACGGATGAAGAAATAAATTGAAACATTTGTCGGTTCGTTTTATATTTTTTATTTGTGTCCATGGTCGTTTTATCGAACATACAACTTGGAAAAAAAATAATTCAAAAAATATAAAGCTCTAATGATCCTATATCAAGTAAAATAAATTTGCACAAAACAAACTAAAAAAACAAAAGGAACAGATCATGAATTTAACTTATATCAAAATAATGCGAAAAAAAATGAAGATGTATATTTGTAAAAATATTGCGAAAATTATACAGAGAAACAATCGACAAGATATTCTGGTATCGGTGTACAAATTGATACAAGAGTTTAAATGATAGTCTCTGCTCTGTTTAGAAAAAGATTTGATTTTTATGTTAAGCATGATACCATTCATTATAGAGTAAAATCACTCCTCTAGAAAATAAGACCACCTTTTGTTCTCCTCGACCTTTTGTTGAGGAAATATAAATTTTTAAAACTTTTTCTCTTCTAAAAATTGTTTTAGATAGTTAATCTTGTAGTGCAAAGAGCTTTCCACAAAATGAGATGTCTCGTAGCTCTTTACAATGTTTTCTTCAAAACTTAGAAGCATTTTGTCAAGAGTTATAAAAAAAAAGTAACATTTGTGATATAACATTCCCGAGCCAAATCTTGACGTTGCCTAAACTGATCATAATACGAATCTCCAAAATTTGATTACAGATATCTAAGACAATATCTCAGACCTTAGACTTCTTTTTTCTTGGTTTTGACACTAATGTCTCGAGTTATAAAGTTTAAAAATAAAAAGCTTTATTTTTTCATAATTCGAGATAAAAGTGAAAAAAATTTGAAATGTGAGAGATTGTCTCAGGTATATACGGTAAAATTTGAGGAGTGGCGATGCACTCAGGTTAAAAACTGGATTTCTAAAACTTTATCAAATAACTCTCGAAGTAAAAATACTTCGATGTTATTTTTCTCGATGTTCTCTGATATAGATTTGGGCTCACTCGGGTTTGTGTTAGTACGATGAAAAAAAAAAGAGAGAGAGAGATATGCTAGAAGAAAAAATAAAAAAGAGCACTAGTCTAATACAGATAGTTGGAAAAATAACACATATTTAAATTAAAAACTAAAAATGGAAATAAATAGCTTGAGTAAAAGTTGGAAATATTACCGAGACATACGCGCATACTGTTCTGATTGAGATTTATACAAATACAAAAAAAAACAATTAAAGATCTCATAATAATTCAAATTGGTCAAAGAAAAATGATACTGAATAGTATACAGACAAAGTTCTACTTCTTCAAATAGGTAATTCAAATTGAATGCCGACAGAGGCTGATCGTGCTAGACTAATTATCTGAGCTAGTTTAACAACCTGAAATGAAGGGTAAACATAAGACATAAACAATATGTTTTTTAGAGATTTATTTTCATTCATTCAGAGTATCGATTCTACATTAGAATCCTTACCAGTCTAGCAGCTTCATCTAAATCATCACACGGTAATATTTTAAATCGACTATTCGCTATTATTGCTTTTGCATCATCGACACGAGTTCCTATTTAAAAGAAAATGTATATTAGATCTCATCATTGAAAGATTTTTATAATTTCTTATATCACCTTGAAGGCGTACGACAATCGGTATGTTTAATTTTAATTCTTGGGCTGCGTCTATGATACCAAATGCAATTGTATCTAAAAATTTGAACAAAATTAAAAGTTAAATAACTAGAAAATCATCTGTTTTTCTCTAACCACAACGCATAATTCCACCAAAAATATTCACTAAAACAGCTTGTACCTAAACAAAATAGAATTAAAAAATAATTGACAATATTACACAAAATAAAAAAAAAAAGTGTTACTTTAGGATCAGCTGTAATCAATTCAAATGCATCTTTTACTTGAGTTGATGACGCGCCACCACCAACATCCAAAAAATTTGCTGGATTACCACCTTTAATAATGAAAAAAGTAAATTATTCGTATGTTTAATTGAATTAATCATATTTTACTTACCATGTAATTTAATAATATCCATTGTTGCCATTGCGAGACCAGCTCCATTTACTAAACAGCCAATTTCTCCATCAAGTCCAATATAATTTAAACCCGACTCGGATGCTTTGACATCACGCCAATCACTTTGTGATGTATCGTTATGTCCAAATACTTCTTTTTGACGAAATTCTGAATTATCGTCAACATTTATTTTACAATCCATACAATAGACTATCAACGAAAAATAAAATTAATGAATAGTTACAAAGTGAAAAACTAATGACTAACTTTTTCCATCTGCTCCTTCTGTCAATGGATTAATTTCAAGTAGAACAATATCTTTTTTCATAAATAAATCGTATAATTTTAACATTGTATCAGCTGCCTTAAAATTAGAATATATATAGAACGACTGTATAAAATATAAATCAGTACTACATACTTCATCTAATAGCTCATTAGAAAATCCAAGTCTTCCAGCTATGGACAATGCTTCAGAACGTTCAAATCCTTTAATGACATCAATTGGATGTCGATTAATTGCATCGGGATTTTCAGCAGCAATCTCTTCGATGTTTCCGCCACCTTGGGTACTTGTGATAATGACAGGACCCTGAAAATAGATGAAAAATTATTTTAAAAAAAATAGAATCATGTGAGAAAAACAAATAGAGTAGATAAACTTTTTGAGATATACTAGATGAATTTTTGTGTTTCTAAGATATTTGTGTATAAAGAGCATTCATTACAATTAAGAAACAGAAAAAGATACAATATTTTATTAATACATCATTATGGAAGAACAAGATGTCAACAATATTCTAAAAATAACTTTGCATTTCACTCTAACAGCTTAGAGAACAAAATCTGATTTATCGAGTGGACCATAAGTAACAGAACATTTTTACATCTCATATTTTTAGTAGTTACATACAGTATTAGAAGTTTGTTCTCAGTTTAAAACATAAAATTTTATTCTCTCCTAAAAAATCTTCTATATTTCATATTCATACGTTGTTTCGTTATTTGAAAACCTACTGTGGAGTAAGATAGATAAAAAACATAATTGAAACTGAAGAAACAAGTTGTATGTTTTTTGTATCTGACTTAATTGATTACTTATTAAATTAATTATTCGTCATCAAGACTATGTGTAAAATATTCATCGACGTCTACTTTTTCATATCAAAAAATAAAAAAATTTTCTAACATTTTAAAAACAAAATGATGTATCATCATATCAGGGCCAATTACTTTTACTCAGCGTGAGGAAATTTTTCGAATAGACAATTATTTTGTAAAAAGTCGACGATCATTCTTTGTAAATGAACATATTTGCGTGTATACGCCAATATTTGATGAAAAGATCGAAATTTTTAAAGACTATTTGCCAGTCATTTTGACCAGCAACTCATTATCATAAACTAACTGCTCATAATAGTTGTCAAGCTTTTACACTCTAAGTACTTGCCAGATAATTGTGATATTTGTTTTAATCATAAAAAGCTTGGACAAATTTCTGACAGAATAAAAATTCTAAAAATCTGGCGACCAGTGTCAAAACTGAGATATCTCTCATTTTCCCACCTTAATCCTAAATTCTAGTCACAATCATTAATTATCAACGATCGAAACTTCAATTAATTTTCTTACATTAAACGAACGATCTAAAGCGATAGCAAAATAATATTCTCTTCTTGTAAATAATCTTTCGCACACAATTAATTTATTAACGGGTTTTCCTTCTCGTCCAGTTTGTTTTGTATATAAACGATGACCTAACATCTTTGACGATAAGTTTTTTGCTTCCTCAGCACTGTAAAATAAGAAGAAATAATAATACAAAAGTACGAGAAATATTCTGACAATAAATACGTACGAAAATGTCATTTTGACACCACCTTTCAAACCGGTATCGAACGTTCCTTTCCCTCTACCTCCAGCTAATATTTGAGCTTTGATCACTAAATCATTGCCAAGCTCTGAAAGGAAAGTAAAAAAACGAATGATTTAGTATTTAAAGTCATGATGATTTCTTCTGTTCAGAGACCTTTACTAACAGCTATCTGGTGAACTTGTTCTGCTGTACTAGCTAATTTAAAGTTGGGTACGCGTATGCCAAAATCTTGTAATAGACCCATTGACACATATTCATGTAATAATAAATAAAAACGTTTTTGAGTATAAACTAAAGGTGATGGTGCAGAAAGCTGAAACAAAAATAATCAGAATTTTAAAATTGTATTACTCTTTAAACTAAAGACATACCTTGTATAGCGCATTTCTTAAAAAGGCCATGTCGTACTATTTTTGAATGACCTTTGTTATATATAATTGCATTAATTTGTAAACTCTACAAGAGAAAAGTATCACAGTAGAGAATCTTCTATGCTAACAATGACGATGAGAAATGCCCGGGTCTATTGCCCGCTTGCACTACAGTATAGGTAAAATGAAAATTTTATACAAAAGTATTAAAAAGTTGTGAGAAGAAAAGTTTTCGTATATCGGTTATAATAAAAATATAGATAAAGCGGTATGCAGTACTCGCTCGTTAAACACAAATATATTTGTAGACTATAACTCTAAAAGTCTGCACCATTGGTTTTTATAGGATTCAACCGTAGGCGGAAAGAATTTGTTTCAAATTTTGGGTCATGCATAAGATATAAGTTGACAATGAAAATAATAAATTCAGTGGTTACAGTAACTTGTTTTATAAAAGAGGAAGCTAGTTTAAAATATGTTTAGATAAAAATTCAGTTGAAGATAGTATGTGAACATCGAGAGTAGAAAACCATGGCAGTAAGCGGTAACAGATTTTCAAAGCGGTACTCTGTACACGTTGGAGTTTAGCCCAACTAGAGTCCGAGATATACAGACGAGTTAGAGAAGAGTATGTTAAGAGGGGACGAACGAATGAGTTAATGTCTATGCTAACAATGAAATCGTCAACAATTTCGTTTCTTAAGTGAAACAAATTATCAAAGATGCATGTGCGTCGAGTTCTGGATTATTTAACCCTCTTTTGATTAATTACTCTACGACTGTATGCATGAATCATGTTTATTCTATAAGGGAGAGAAGAACAACTTTTTTTATGGCTGACATAGCCATAAAAAAAAACACATTCCGATCAACAAATTTTGAGCAAAGTACATCTTCAAATTGTAGTATATTTTTACTTTTCTCCATAGTGGAAGCAGAGTATACATACAGTTTTCAATCTGTACCGTACAGTTTTGCCTGCACTTACGGAGATATCCTCTTTCATAAAAAACACTATTCCTCCTTCTCTTCATATCAAATTTACCCAAGACGGTCGACATATATTAAAAGCAAGGCTATATACAACTGACAAAAATTTTTGATTTTTACGTTGATTATAACAATTTGCCGCTAGCGCTTTGATGTCTTTGTAAGTGAGAAAAAATACGCTTATTTCGTGTACTTTTTTCGGTTTTTAAGGATATAAATACACTGGAAAAAAGTTTCAGACTTGAACATAGTCCAAAGACATAGTCCAATAATTTCATTTTTTGTTTTTCTGCTCTTCTATCTGTTCGATGTTATTTGCTAAATAAACATTTCTTAACCGATCAAAACAAATAATCGGTCTGTGGGTGGATCTATCGGTCCATAGTTTTAGAAAACATTCTATTGGATAACATACAGAACAGTCAAAGTTTGAAGATGTCACTGTTTTTGACATGGTACGATTAAGAAACTTTCTGCTAATAATACTAAAGCTATTTGTTTCTGAGGCTAATTCCATGTTATGCATCAAATTAAATGATTTAACAAAATAAGGTGCCAAATAAATCAACCGATGGAATGAATTCCTTGTATTATAGTTTTAAGTTCTAAACAAACGTCATTCCGATGATTAGATCAGAACGGCGATAAACTGTGTGTGCACATGATCTCGTCGCTGCAAGTCGTCAATTCAAATATTCAGAATTTTATGTTTGTGGTGTAGTATTCGCAGGAAAATGACGAAAAAAACTTAGTTCGCAGTAGAACTTATCACTGACAGAAAAATAAAGTTCATTCAGAGTCACAGAAAAGTGCTTTTTCGTATTTAGTACATTCAGTAAGGGTGATTCTTTTGAAAGTGTACCAGACTTTACATCGACTTTGCCCGAATTATTCGAGAGTAACAGGACTAGTAGAACTCGGGCTCCTGATGACGAATATCACATTCAAAAATTTTTAAAAGAACAGCATGGTGGTCTTCTAGACCTGTGGAAATCCCATTTCCCAGCAGAATAGTCCTTTTGTAGGCATTTTCACCATTTTTTAGTGAAACACTTTCATGAGCTGGTACCGTCAGATTAGCTTCTATATGTGCAGAACTACAAAATCAAGTTCTATCCGATGAAGGGATTCGTATTGCGATTAGAACATATATAGACATATATCTCAAACTTTGAAAAACGAGGAAAATCGCCTTTAAGAGCTGTTTTTTTTCATCATTAAATGTTTTCTAATCGCAATACGAATCCCTTCATCGGATAGAACTTGAAAAGACGCGTAGAATGCACATTTTGCTGTCTTGTGCTGATGTGATTTTATGAAAAAAAATGGTTTACAAAAAAGGTCTACTGTTCGGAAAAAACGATCTTTTTAAACATTTTTCTGAGAAAGTGCTTAACATTTTGAAACTTTTTGTCCGCTAGTGATTTC